TGCCCTTCTGGTAAATCTAGTCAGCCAGAGGTCCCTGTTCCAGGAGGATCAGCTGTTCCTCATCTACGGCAATCCATCGTCAGTATTCCTTTGGAATTGGGGTCTGCTGTTCATTTTTATGGAGTCAGTTCTCTCCTTCCACCTGTAGGTGAGCTCCAGAAATCAAACTCAGGTCGCCAGGCTTGTGCAGCAAGCACCTTTACCATCTGAGTCATCTTGCTGGTCCCTTTTTTGTGATTATTCACTCCCATGTGAATTTACTACTATTTTGCCCAGAAGCATTCTATACTTGTACAACATTTACTGCTGTGATTTAAATTATATCATTACTGGGAAGACAACAGTAGTAGTGTCATCCTGGGCTTTATTTTGTATTGTTTTTCCTTTGAAGTGCTGGGGATAGAATCTTAGGCCTAATGCATATGAATCAAGTGCTGTAAATCACTAAGCCACTGCCCCCCACCCCCACCAAACAACTCCAAGTCCCAGAATAAGTTTTGGATCTCCCAGAGCCTCCACATAAAGGTACATAGCAACCATAACCTCCCACCACACTCATACAAGCAACTATGATTAAACTCAGTGGGTCACTCACACAAAGACCGGAAAGTAGGAGGAGGACTTGTTAGGAAGAAGAAAGGTTTCAGGGGGAGAGGAAAGGGGATGACAGCAGGGATAATGCAGGCGTGAAAACTACTAAAATTCATTGTACACATGTATGAAACTGTCAAAGAATAAAAAATACCAACCAAATAGCAAAATCAAAACCATATAAAAAATGTACAAGAACACTAGGTTCCAGAATATCCCCCCAGTCCCACAGCTGAAGCAAATCTTATACATAGAGCAGATAAAATCTGTAGCCTATTTCAAAGTAAACATAAAGACATTAAGAAAATGATACAAGGCATTAAAGAAATGTAGAGAATAAGAGACTGCAGAGTGTATGTCTCTGGATAAGACTCCTATATTAAACCACCCACCTAGGGCTTAGGGGCTATTGTGGAGGAGGGGGCAGAAAGATTGTAAGAGCCAAGGGTGGTGGATGAACACAAGAAATCGGTTTTCCAGGCTTCTGGTAACTTGTTCATATGAACTTACAGCAATGGTGACAGCGTGCATACGACCCATGCAAACTCAAACTAGACAAAAATCCAGCATAGAACTGGTGAAATGGACAAGAAGCCCAAACCTTAGCAGAGAAACTATTGGCAACTGGTCATTGCTGGGTGAGGGAGAGAGAGTTGGTGTTCTTTAAGGGAGTGACTCTAGATAGGCTGACTAGGCTCCAGTGGATGGACTCACACTGTGGGACATCTGGGGACAGACACAAACTTGACTTGATAGGCCTTAACATATATGATAGAATGAATAAAATCAGTGGGAGTGGAAATAGATGGTGCAGATAGAGGAGGGGATCTAAACATGATCAAGATGTAGTATATGAAATGTACGCAAAAATTAATACAAATATATGAAAGAAAAATGAGGTGACAGAGCTCAGGAATGACTAGAAATACAAGAAAAAGATTACCACAGAAAAGAAAGTCAACGAAGAAAAAAAAGTCCAAAAGAAGGAACGAGGTTAAAAAGATTCAGGAGGAAAAAGACAGATATTTACAATAGACAGTGAAAAGCCAACATACAAATAATATACATACTTGACAAAAATGAACAAGGAAATGGATCAATGATAAAAGCTACAATTAAAATACAAAGCACAGCAGCAGAAAGACTGATACCAGCCTACACA